TCAGGTAACCCCTGATATAATGGGATAAAAAAGGAGACTTCACCTTTGCAGTATTTTTTTTTTCAAGAATATATAACTCCACTCTAATTATGTGTTAAACAACAGACAAAGCCAGACTGGGGGATATTCTACAGGATACCTGGCCAGTATTTCTTAAGACCATCAAGGTCATGGGGAAAAAAAAAAAGAGAAAGTCTCAGAAACTGCCACAGACCAGACAAGACTGGGAAGACGTGCCCACCCGATGCCATGTGATGTCCTGGATTTGGATTCTGGAGTAGAAAGTCCAGAGTTTAGTTAATAATAATGAAGCACTATCTGTTTCTTTGACAAAGTTAGCACGGGAATATAAAATGTTCAACAACAGGGAAAACTGGGTGAAGGGTATACGGGATATCTTAGTAGTATCTTTGTAACTTTTTTAGAAATCTAAAATTATTCCAACAATAAGGTTTTTTTAAAAAGATGTATTTACTTTATTTTTAAAGATTTTATTTACTGATTTATTTGAGAGAGAAAAAGAGAGAAAGAAAGCATAAACAGGAGGAGAAGCAGAGGGGGAGGGGAAAAACATCTGAAGCGGACTCTATGCTGAGTACGGAGCCCCACTGGGGCTCGATCCCACAACCCCAAGATCATGACCTGAGCTGAAGCCAGGAGTAGGACAGTCACTAAACCGACTGAGCACCTCTTGATTTATTTATTTGAGAGAGAGAGAGAGAGAGAGAGAGAGAGGGAAGGAGAGCATGAGTGGGGGGGGGGGCAGAGGGAGAGGGAAAGCAGAGTGCGGAGCCTGACGCAGGCCTCCTGGGACCCAGAGATCAAGACCTGAGCTGAAACCAAGAGCCAGACACTTAACCAGCTGAGCCACCCAGGTGCTCTTAAAATAAGAAGTTAAAAAAAAGAAAATCAGTGCCGAATACCAGATGATGCACATAGGGGGCTGTCTTAGGACTGAAGAAAGCAGCATGCAGATATGTGGTCAGATCACCAAATACGGGCATTCAGTGTTTACACGTCTCACAGTTTTAAATATCCTGCCATCAGAGCCGTCCCTTGCACTGGCAGACAAAATACATATAAATTAAGTGATTAATTATGTTAACATTCCTGTGGTATTTATCAGTGTTTTCCACACCGCTTTTGAAAGTGAGAACGTGAGTTGGAAGGTGGTAGCAGGTGTACTTGGAAGTGAGAGCCATGAGTGGAGCAGGCTGGCTGGCTTCGGGACCTGCAGACCGCAGGGCAGCCCGCGTGCCTATAGCGTGTCTTCAGCAACAGCAACCGCCACAATCCGAGCTCCTGCTTTTGGGGGGCACGCTAGCGTGCCAGACTTGGCCCCGGCGGTTTCATCTACGAGATTACATTTCACCCTCTTAGTCTAGGAGGCTGCAGTGATAGTCTCATTTTAGAGATGAGAGGTAGGATCATCAGAGACATGAATTACTTGGTCAAGGTTGCAACTGTGATTCAAACACAAACATTTCTGACTCTTTCACCACGTCAGTAAATAAAAGGCACCTCTTAATATCATTCGTCTTTGCCAGAGAATAATACACTGAGATATTATATATTATACATTATATACACCTCTAAACATCCATATAATTCCCATTACACTGAGAAAATGTAAAAGGGTCATTGAACACTACACTTGATGTACAACAAATGTTAGTCCTCTCCTACCTTTATAGGCTACGCTTGTTTTCGATTAGTTCCAAACTGGTTTTGGCTTGTGTTTTAGGGCCTGGGCTTGTGTGAATTATCACGGCAATTCAAAAGCGCAGAGTAAGCTCATGCCAGAAGTCAAGTTTAGCCCGTTTACATGGGATAGAGTTAAACCCTGGCCAGGACCAAGTTTTTCTAGATATAAAAATACATGTTGTATCAATGAAACTCCTTCAGAGTTAGAAATATAACAGATTTTCAAAAACTAACCACCCTCTGCCTAGACTATATGATTACGTGCTTTATTAAGGACTCATTTATATACTCCATTCAGATTATGGGAGTGAGTTTCTGCTATCATTATGGATTGACTTTATGGATCTTTTTAACCATTTCTCTTTATGTTCTACCTTTTAAGCTGAATAGACTTTCCTCTTGGACATCATAATCATTATCCTGAGGGTTAATAATTCATAAAGCCAGTAATGAGAGCCTAATTATTTTGAGTAAGTCTGAAATTTACTGGCAAGCGCTGGAGGAAGGGACTGACAAAGACTAACCCACTTCATGCTATTATTTTAGAGGGAATTTCCCCAGGCAAGTTGAAGCTAAATGGAAGGGGGATGGTAAATCTTTGAAATAGTGTAGTCATCTTTCTCTATGCTAAAATAAGCAAGGTAATTAAAAGGGCTGCCATCCTGTAATTACCAAGGAGTCCTGCCTTACGGACGGAAGTGGGGCTTTGTTAGACAACAAACGTTCGAGCTTGTAATCTAATACGAATAATGATCCAGACACATGAGCAAGATCTATTAAACAGTGATGGCAAACAGCCACATGCTGCCTAGATGAATCACTCAGTGTATCATCCAGAAAGGGAACTAATTTTTTAAGCCCAGTAATGCAGTACTGCTCTGGTTTAGGGTTTGTAAGGTTTCCAATCAATAGATGGCCTAAGAGGATTCACTCCCTTTGGGATGCAGGTCAGAGTACAGTCCTCAAATCCCTTCTATCTAGATGTGTTCTATGCATTTTGTTTAATCAATGCTTCTGAAATAACAGATCTATTTTGGCATTGTATGTCACATATGGACTTGAACTGGTTCTTGTCTTTATACTCTGTTTGAGCTCTGCCAGACCTGCCTGTGAATGTGTAGTTGGTTGAAAGTTGGAATCAGGCAAGAGAGCGAAGGTAAGAATCAAATATATAACTCTGAAGGACAAACTTCCGCGAGCAACCACAGTTTAGAAGCATCATAACTATATATTAAATGTGGAATGCCTGACTTGGCCATCTTTACTTCTAATTAATATATTGTTTCCTTCAGACTCAATCTTTAGAACGAGTTAACTCCTTGATTCCCTCTTTGAGTGCTTCTTTGTCCTTCTGAAGCCCAAAGACACTGCTGAATTTACTGGATTTATATTTATACCAAGTCACCTCCCCCAATTTGATATAAGAAGTTTCCTTACAGAGAAGTTTTATCACATAAGATACGATGAGTAAAGCACTTGCTAGGAAATTTCATCTTCTTGTAAAAACTCAAATCACAATTACCTCTGGCAATGGTGGACAGATAATGCCATGGAAAAGATAGGACAAATAATTGAAATCCACTGATAAGCCTCAAATCTCATTCCAGCCCCAAATTTCAAATGCTTCCCTACTCCCAACTGACTTTCTTCAGAGTCGAAGGTAAGCTGAAAAATATTAACTGACTTGAGATACATTATTTCTTTTTTAGTTTTCAAAAATTATAAGCTATTTGTCTATAAGTTTGAAATGAGAAAAGATAAAAAACACTCTTCTTTATAATTAGTAGCCTTTAAAAGTCAGTTTAACTCACACTGTAGCTACACGTCCCAATGCAAACATGTATATCCATCACGTTATGAGTTAGATTTTGTGCTAGTCTGTCACTTATAATCTCATTTATATTAGAAAATATAATCGGTCATTTATAGAAGGGAGAAATGTAGAGGTTCAGGGAATTGCTCCTTCCCCACTTCAAAGTTTCCCACCAAAGGAAATGAGAGAGAAGAACAGATAGGGGTAAGGCAGGGGAGAAGCTAGAAGGTACTGATGTTTAAGGAAAAGAACCAGAAGGGCTAAGGAAGCTGAAGCTGCAGAGAGAATTGAGAGAGGAGAAATTTCACAAAGAATTCTCTGGGCGGTTCAGTGATTGGGCTACCAGGGAAATGGACCCTTGCTTGTTGCCACATCCAGATCGTAACTCTCTGCCCTCACCCCTGAGACTGACCCTGGATTTCAGGATTTCCATCCACTAAACCCCATTCCAGATCACAGGTGGAGAATCAGAGCTTGGAAGTCATTATCCCAGGAATGTGTCCCCTTCTCAATTCCTGCCAGTTTTAGCCGTTCGTGTCTTCCATAACTCTAGGTAGGTCCATATTGGAACCAGTTGGTGGTCTTAAGTTTATAAACCTCTGGTTCTCTATCAAACTCCTTCTGTTCTGTTGGCATCCCTGCCTGTACCCTCGGATACTCGTCCTGATCTTCTTGACTTTACTGCATTTGACTATTGGCCTCCACAATTATGACAGAGCCCAGAACCCTAATATCTAACACACCTGCTGTCTTAATATCTTCTGGCCTACTTTACCCAGTTACCTCATTTATCACAGTATAGACAGGGATCTAACATAGTGAATGGAATGTAAAAAGTGCCCAACAAATACTGAATGATAGATAAGATGAACTAAAAATCAGCTATGCATTTAAAGAAGCATATGGAAAATATGAACATTGAGAAGTATTCATACATGGAGTCAATTTAAGATTTCAGGAACAATGTCACCTCATCAGCTGTGAATCACTTTATCATGACAGTAAGTATTCTGTGGGCCTCTGATATTTATGCAATCACATAATAGCTAGATGTGTTGGACATGTCTTTGCGGATAACTTTGTCACACCTGCAGGAAGAATGGGGACAGTATTTGGTAATGTAGACTCCAGGAAGAGACTTGTGCTGTCTTCGAGAGTTTTCTAGACATTATGATACCTTACGACATTCACCAACTTTCTGCTTTCTCGTCTTAGGTAAATCTGAGACTAAAGTGGTTAATAAACCAAGAGATCCTAACTTGGCCTCTTCAGCATAATAATTTTCTTCTGCTGTTTTCCTTTGCCCAGTTCCATTTTCTTCAGTCCATAAATCATCGCTTGGGGTTCACATGGTACTATGCTTCCCTTCATTTTCCTAACCATTGTTTTCAGACACAAGATGAATCTATCCATCAACCCAAGGAGGATCAAGCAGCTGAAGATAGGCTGATCACATGAGATCAACTAGGCACTTCCAACTTACAAGCTTCCCGAAGTTTCTCTTTGTCATAGTGAAATCCTTCATAGTCTTGTAAACTGATTTTGTTCACCCGGATCCTCAGGCGGTCTGGGACAGACTGGGGACTGCAAAACAAGAATCAAGTAGTCAGACAAATGAGAGAGTGGAATTGAGAGTCACATGCACCTGGAAGGACTAAAGGCAATAATGTCTCTTCATGCTTGGAAGAAAAAGTTCTCATTTAAACAAGAATTGTAGGTTCTTTACGAAGAACACGGCCATTATCTGGAGAATACATCCTCAGAAACCTCAAGTTTCTGGAATTTAGGTAAGAAGATGGAAATAGGCAGAAAAAGCTTCTGAAAGCTACGCATATCCTGTTCACTATTAACTTATTAAAAGTTCTAGTAAGATCATGTGTTTAGCTTCACAATAAATTAGACACAGTTTATCTGAAACAGTGAGACATGGCATAGAGCTGTAAAAAACTGCTCTAGGAAAATATGCCCCTATCAGCCAAATACAGCAGTTTGACCCTCAGAAGAGACAAAAACAAACAAACAAACAAACAAACAAAAAAACCTTCTAAAAAGCAAACCAAGAACTGAGAAATCACAGGATTGAGATCAAAATACCTCTATGTACCCCAACAGTCTGAGAACACCTCTCAAAGCTTATGACAATAAATGCTGCCTGTGATGGTGATTTTGAGGGCCTCAAAATGATGAAAAAAATTTAAAATATGCATGATGTACTTTCTTTAGAAAGGGAATGAAGTTGTAATTCATTTTAAAAGAACTCAATCCAAACTGGTTCAGGATACATGTCCAACAATTAAAAGAGGGTAGCACCAAGCTTTCTGAAGCATCCTGTTCACTCACAGAATGTCCTTGGATTTTACATAATATTTTCAAAATAGTCTAATTATCAGCATTAGTTGAGTGAAACAATTTAATTTTCATCATCACCACTATGGATCAACGCATTTCTTCAATGTATCAATATAACACGATCCCCACTTGTCCTTCAGTATTACCTTATACTTAGATTTCATTGGTTCAGATAATTTTAGCAAAAACAGGATTGCTTCTCCTTTCTTGTGTTAATTGGATAAAAGTCACTATTGGCCAAAGTAGAAAGAATAGCATTACTCTTCTATTCATTTCAGTAAAGAAGGGAAGGACTGGAAGGGGGAAAGGGGAAAGAAAGAGAAGAGTGGGAAGGAAGAAGAAAAAGATAGATGGCAGGAGGGAGGGATAAGATATTGTCAGGACCCCCATCTCAAACACACACATGGAATTTCACTGCAACTCTGGAAGGAGGGAAAAATAATTTAATCTCATTCTCTTGCCTAACACCTCATCTTTGGGCAAAGTATAGTAACTCCCTCCATATACAGACTCCCACTCTAATACCCCTAAAACAACATATAGATCCAACTATGGATACATACGTGCACACCCATACATAGTTCTCTTCCTCCTCCCACACAAAGATATTTAGATACAAGTGCATAAATGCTAAAGAGAGATGGTGGACAAATAAAAATGTCTGAGGTTCACTGGGTTAAAAACTAAGCCAATATGAAATACAAGATGGATAATTCTGAGGGAAAGTTTTGAGAAGACAAATCAATAGACTAGTCCATTCAAAGTGTGTCTGTTGGGTGTCCACTTTGTATTGGGCATTGTACTGGACATGGAATAGGCATTGATAAATAAAATGGGCATAAGCTGTGATGGGAAATAGGATTTTAAGGCACGTTTTGAATTAGTGTTAACTATACACCTTAAATATCATGGGTATCCTTACATCATTTACAGACAGGGAAGCTGAGGTTCAGAAAGGTAAAGTGATTTTATGATCACATAGCTGGGCATAGTGGCAGAGCTGGGAGCAGAGTCTCAGACTCTTCACTCATCAGTTTCATGCTTGTTTTATTGTGTGGTGCCAAGAATCCCATGGATTTGACAACAAAACCACAGAGCCTGAATTAACAAAGTCAAATGATCTCTATGTGGTGTTCAGACTCTTATCAATAAGCAATCACCTGGGGGATAGTTAAGTAAACTGTGGTACACTGAAACAAGAAAACACTGGGCAAATATTACAAATGAGTGTGTAGATCTACATCTTTTTAGAGGGAAGTCCCACTATAACATTGTGACATTGTTTAGTGAAAAAAAAAAGTCATGGAAAATTATATCTGGAATAATCTCCTTCATGTAAACTGTGGAATTTCAGCATTTGTATATGTACACAAGTGTCTAGAGAGAATGTTCGGCGAGCTATCCCAAGTGGTTATCTCTACATGATGGGATTTAAGGATTATTTTACATCAAGAATCATCATTTTTAGAAAAAGATTTTAAAATTATGTCAATATGTAAATAAATGATAACTCAGAACCAGAGTAAAAATAAGAGTTACAGCAAAGGATGTTAGGTATTAGATGTGAGTAGGTAGGAAAGGATAGGAAAGAATTTAAGCAATTAACAGAGTGATCATACAGTGTACAAGATGCTTATCCCGAAATTAAGAGGGTTCTGATCCTTTTATTTTCAAGTTCACCCTAGTGACCTGAAAAGAATGTAATTAAGAAATATTTCCCCACAAGTACATCAGGTAAGAGGGAAGCAGGAAGCACAGAATGTGGTGGCCCACCATACCCTCTGACGGGAGCTGGGGGAGGACAGAGGTTGAAAGAGCTCTACTTCAATACATTTTGAGATGACAGTAGGTCTAGTGACAGTGAGCTCTAGCATTCTCCAGTGGGCTAGAGACAGCAGGAGTAAGACCTGGTTCCAGCAGTAGCTGTAGAGTAGAAAATAGGATTCAGAGAATGAATACAGACCAGTCACTGTACGTCTTTCTCCCAGGAGCTCCCCACTAGCTAACCAGTGTGTACCGCCTTTCTCACGGTCCGTCTGTGCCCGTTCCCTGCCCACATGCTTCTACCTCCCAGCTTTGCATCTGTGCCCACCAATTCCAGACACACACTGCTGCCTCCTGAGCCACAGCCTCCACCAATCTTCCTTACAGGTGGCACACCATGGACATACAACAGGAACTGTCATTTGAATGGAACTTTCCAGAATCCAAATGAATTCATGAACTATCTCACTTCATCTCCAGAGCGATCAGCTAAGTAGGAGACAAGAAAATGGAGACTCAGTAACTGCTTGTCACTCTCCCCCATCCCACCTTCTTATACACTCACTTGCTCGCCCTGAGCGCCCATCTGTTCCCGGCGACCAGCAACGCATCCCACGTTCCCACCAGCAGCAGCTGGCTTAAACCCACTCTTCTGATGAGGGTACCTGGTGTTTGGCCTGCTGTCAAGTGTTGGGGCTCATCTGCAAATTTTAGGGCAATCACGCGGTCCAGGATGGAAATCTCCTTTGAATTCTTTTGGATCCTGGCGTAAAGACTAGGCAGCTCAGCAGAGTGCAAGAGCTCAGGCCCTGAGTCAGATTGCCTAGCCGTGAAGTACACTTCTTCCACCGGTTAATCAGGAAACCCTGTGCTTCAGTTTCCTCCTGGGTAATGTAGAGATAAGAACAGGATCCACTTCACAGTGATACTGGGAGGATGAATTGAGTCAATACAGAAAAGTGCCTGGCACATGGTAAGTGCTCAGCAGACACTAGCTATTATCAGGATAATCATTATTCTGAAAATTGCTCCCCTACATAAGGTTCTGCTAATAAGCAATAGCATCTGCTGCTGCCAGTTAGTGGGAGAAGTGCAGGGTACGTGCTGGGGCCGCCCTAGGCCCTCTGACCCACTGCTGGGCTTCCTCGGAGGGGAAACTGTCTGGTCTGGACAGTGCCATCATTCTCCTGGACCTTCTCGCATAGGTATTTTACAGGCCAACCAATAACATGAAAACAGACAACCAGAAGGTGGGAAAGATAAAATACACAGATATTAAGTGAAAGCCAGGTAATTCAACTGGGTCCCTTTATGTCAAAATGTATTAATGTTCCATTAATGGCTGAGTGGAGGCGGATGATGACAAAGCTGTTCCTTGGAGTCTGGGGTAGAGCAGTGCCATTAGTTTTCTAAAATTACATTTTCCCAAGAAAGTTAGTAGAGCATAGAAGAGATGAACATCCTGGATAAAAATGGATTTGCCTCCATGCCAACATCTACCACCAACTATCCCGATACTGATGCAGGCTCTGTAGCAGGCAGGGGTTGTAAACCAGACTTCCTTGGAATCACTCAAGGTTCTGAAAAGGGACTCAACAATCTTGGAATTCCCTTTGAAATCAGGACAGTGACCTCAACCTATCACTTGCTCACAAATTTCCTCTGAAATGTCAAGAGTTTTTTGTGCATGTTGGAATTTCATGGCTCTGGACGTAACTCCCAAATGTCCCCATGACAACTCCCTCAAGAACTACCATAAAGCATCTCATTAAATTCATGCACTTGGGCTCCAGACCACACTTTCCCGTATCCACATTACACACACCTGTTACTCTGAGGTGCTAGGAGGGGTGAGGTGGAGCACCATCCAGACAACTCTCAGAACACTCACTGCTATTCAACTTACATCTTCCTTACTACACAGGTTTCTCTCAGTCCTCATAACACACTCTGCTCATTCCAACCTTCTCACATGGATACCCCTTACGGACCAAGAGAATGAGTTGGGGGCTTTCGTTCCCCAAGGTCACTTCACGGCCAGCAACACCACATTAATTCCTTCTTTTATTGGAAATATGAATCACCTGGGAATAATATCCTTTAATATTAAGACACTAAAACACAGTGTGTAATGCAAGACGCAAACTCAGAAGAATCTTAGTTCCAGTCAGAACTCTGTCAATTAATACATGGTTGACATTGAGAACTCTGAAGTTACCTTGTCTAAACTATTTTCTGATTGAAAATGGAACTGATAATAGGAATATGTGAGCATTAAATGAGAAAATACATGTAAGGCAGTTAGCATATCCCTGGTAAATAGTGTTAAGTATATTGTTGTTCTATTTTTATTAATACCCTGATGCTTCAACTTCCATAAGCCTTTTTTAAAAAATTTAATCCTAGATAATACCATAGCAGAAGCCAGAGTTACAGCTTTAAGTAGCAGTTAGTAGATACCAAACCTTAGC